TTGCTAGACACCCTGAAAACAACTCATTTTGAAGTACAGAACAGCGAGTGGAACAAACATAACTGTGGAGCAATCGCATGGCAAACAATTCCTGCAACTCATGTCGTCTGCTGCGCGCGGCCGAAAAAAAGAAGAAAGAAAAGCGCTTGGTTGGGTGTAGCCACGTGACTTCCGTCACTCTCTCCTCCTCTATATTTCTCCGACTTCCGTGCCCAGGTTTTGGTTTCGGTTTTAAGCAGTTGCATTTTTTGGCTTTATTAAAAATGTATGTGACTCTGTAGCAGGGTTGGGCAGTATCGCGATACAAATGTATCGCGATAGTATTTCAGAAATACATTTCGTATCTATTTCTGTATCGCGATACATTTTTTTTCACCAGTATCTGTATTCCTGTATCGAAATACATTTGGAATGTTTCTTTGTATCGCGATACAATCAGGATGAAATGTATTTCGTTACATTTCTTGAAAAATACACCACCCTGCCCCCTCAAAAAAAAAAAAAAAACAGGTTTAACCTCTTTTTTTTTTTACTTCTGAGGGCATTAGGGTCAAGGAGATAATGGTGCATTGTTACTATACCAACCAAGGTCCCTTCCGATTCTCCAAACTATTTTTCTATGCGTCCTCTTCTCTCTTTTGAGAAGTGTTGTGTAGTCGGGGATTCAAACCAGCTGGCATGCCAGGGGTGGAGTCAGCACATCTTCTGCCGCAGGTCCTTAGGTAGGGATTTCTTAAGTCATTGTTTGCTGGCATCCAGTGCCCAGTGCTAACCGTCTCTCTTGCCTTAGCGTACACAGTACACCAGCAGACAAAGCTGAGTCACAGTCCGTTGCAGCACGAGCCTGGTGGTGGTTGACTTGAAATAGTAGCATGACTCACGCAGGGAAGTTTAACACATATTCGAATGTGTCTCTGGCTGCGCCCGTAATAATACACGGCTCAAGGGTACGTCATCAGCCGACGTGAACGTGACCCGCTGCTCTGGTGGTCCGAAACCCAGGAAGGAGGCCAAACGTGGCCTCGTTGTGCCGACCCTAACTTCGTACACCTTCGTCTCGTCTCAAACGCGCTGTTTCTCGGAGAGTTAGCACCTGTGCCGGCCAAATTAGCTCGCAATCTAGGATGTCTCTGTTTAGATGATGCTAGGCGAAACTTGAGGACTGCAATTCATGCGTCAATGCCGGAGAATCGGCAAGAAGGACCTTCCCAACAGGGATGTCACCGTATAGTTTTTTCAACCGTATCAGAAGATAAGAAGTGTTCCAGGATGCTTCAGGTGGTTCACTATTTTCAAAAATTCCCAATGACACTGCCTGCACGATCTTTAACGAGGTAACCTACAATGAAAATACGTATTGTCCTTTCACACAGCAGCGTGGCAAAGTTTCATGTTCAAGGCCACACCTATATATAAAGAATACCAGTTCATTCCACCGTGACGTCATGTGATAAATGTTGACAGGGGCATCCTTATTTGACGGGCGTGGTGACGTTTCGATTGGATTTAGGGTGACAGATTTTATTTAGAGGTCGAAGTCTTTTCGCATCCCTCGTAAGACAGACAGGATGTCAGGGAAGGGACCATGGTCAGTCCTTGATAGAATGTTTTTTTGAGCCCATTGAGGACTCCTCGTCGTTCGAAACCACTACCTTCAAGGCAAAGTGCCAAGCCTATGGGAAAGCAATTTCAGGATCAAAAACTTCCACCTCAAGCTTCATCTCAGTTGGCGTTTCACAATTTTTAAAAATGTATTGCAGTATCAGTGTTTCTGTATTTGTATTTCTGCCCTCCCTAAAATGTATTCCTGATTTGTATTTCCAAATACTTTTTGCCTCTATTTAAAACATATTTCCGATACGTATCACGATATATTTTTACAGATATATTTTACTATCAGTATTTTAGCTATTTCAATGTATTCCAGTATTTGTATTTCCAAATACATTTTTGAGTATTTCTGCCCAACCCTGCTCTGTTGCAAAATATTAATTGGGTAGTCTTCTGACACCATAATGAATGCCTGGCAAAATATGAAAAAAGATTTTTTTGGGGTGTCAGTGTTCCTTTAACCCCTTAAGTACCTTGGATGAGCAGAGCTCGTCGGCCACTTTCTTGCTAAAAATGCCGTAGACGAGCTTAGCTCGTCCAGTGGTTTTTTTGGTAGCCTTCAATTCCACAGATGGACTAGGCTCGTCCGAGTAGTTTTGCGGCGCTGATCATAGATGGCAGCACTCGTTTTAGTTGGCAAATATTTTTTTCGCCTCCGCTGATTTTTGCGTAATAAACTTTTCAAATTTTATGTGTAATACTAGAGAAATAACAATTCAAAATAAAGAAAAGGCACTTTTAGGTAACTTTTGGAAAAAAAAAATTTGGCACTTACGGGGTTAAGGGGCGGTGCAACAATTTTCAGACTTTAACCGATTAACTGTGAAAATTAATCTGTGTCACCTATGGACCGAAGAACAGAAAACCGTATTTTCTTGCGAATGCTATTTTTTATTTAAAAAAAAAAATGAATCAAATTGAAGGTCAAAGTGCCTCTCAACTTTCCACGTCACCTTTAGTAGGACGCACTCTGGGAGATCATGTGGTTTCCCCACTTGGGTTCGCTTTTCAGATCCTCCAGTCGCTCCCTCCGCGATTGTCGACTTTTCAAGGATTAATCGCCGAAGGTTGCAGCGACCGATCGACACAAAGGACGGTTTGCCATGGGACTACCGGCGAGTGTAGCAGCGGATGGGGATTGGTTTTTGTTGACTTCCGCGTATCCCTTAGAGACGCTGTCCCGTAACCGCCACACGTGGCTGCAGATCGGCAAATAATTTTTTTTTTCTTCGTGATTATGCGTTGGAATAGCAGTTTTTCGGGGCAAGCTTACACATTTTGGTCACTTGTGCTTAAATAAACAATATAAAAAATACAAATTGCCAATTCTTTCAACAATAAAATCGTTGCCCACTTGCGTGTGCTTTTGTAGCCATACTTACAAGTGCGTATCATCAGGTCCACTGACACAGTGAGGATACATAAAAATAAAAGAATGTACTAATAATTATAACTGCTGCCGAAATAAAATGTGTCAACGTCATGCTTTTCCAAAAGGTGTTTTATATGTGGCTTCATAGTGCACCAAAGGACTTACGAACCCCCGATAAGTATGTTTTAACGTTCATGACAACGTCACAATGCACTCGTCTCGTGGAGAGCTGTTATGTGCTTCGCACCCCCTTGCTTGGTTCACGAGGGCCCTATGCCCTCGTGAACCCTTTGCCAAGTTTTGAACATCTTGAAATATTGGAATGGTGTATAACACCTTTCAAATGTTTACGAATGTACAGCCAACTGTGCGGCTTCCGCAGTCCAGCACGCGTGTGTTGGTGGTGATGTGCACTGGCTGCAGTTTAGGCAGTTGGGATTGGGAAGAAATAAGTACTTTGAGTGCTCTTCTTAACAACATTACTGCCCCAGGTGAGGATGGGCTCAAAGCAGAACCAGTTAAAACCATTTCCAGTTTAGTACCAACTCCGGTAATGCATATGCAGCATGTCAGTGTTAACTGGTCGCTTTCCAGACCCCGAAAGTAGCATGTTTTTGCGTTGTACATGTGGGTGGTGTGCAAAATGACCTCAATAACTTCAGACCAATCTCGTGCTTTTTGTTTTTTTCGAAAATTTAAGAACAAATATTGAAAAATCGCTTGATTAGCTTTTTCACAAAATATAACATGATAATCTCTGAACAGCAGTTTGGGTTTTAGAAAAATAAATCTTCAGAAATGGCACTCATAGTAAATAAACATTAAAGATAAAATTATTACCAACAAAGAAAGTGAACTGTTTACATTGGAATATTTCTTGACATCTGAAAAGCCTTTGATTCAATTAAGGATCAAATACTGTTAACAAAGCTAAACATGTATGGTTTAGAGGGCATAGCACTAGAATTAATTAGTAGTTTAGTTCTTAAACACAGTTGACCATTTTTAATGGTGTCAAATCAGATATTCATTGAACAGCGTATGGGGTCCTGCAAGGATACATTTTAGGACCATTACTGTTTCTTGTTTATATTAATGACATACTTGATATTTTGCATTGTTGAGAAATGGTATTATTTGCGGATGACTCAAATGTTTCTTTTTCCCTTAGTAGCTTCTAGTATCTTGAAAATACAGCTAATGATCAATAAATTATCGTTGTGGCTAGTTGCAAACCAGCTTGAAATAAATATTTTAAAAACTCAATATAGTTTTTAATGCAAAAAAATAGGGTGCTTAACACAACATTGACATAAAACTCCTGCAATCTGGAGAAGGTTGAATCTTTAATGTTCCGGGGTGTATGGTTGCGTGAACAGCTGTACTGGACAACTTACGTGTCCAAGCTATCTTCAGCACTCTCCAGATCAGTCGGAATAATACATAAATTAGGATTTTTGTTACCAACATGGTTCAAGTGGCAGTTATACTATGCACTTGTTCACTCTCATTTCCATTACTGCTCATTGGTTTGGGGAATGAGAACAAAAAGCAACCTCAGTGGTCCAGAAACAAAGCAGTTTGATCCATCGAGTGTCTCGGTTATACTGGTGGCACATCTGAGCAGAACGCTGCAAATCTTAGTCACTGACATCGAGAGAAAGAGAGCAACAGAAGAGGGGAAAAAGAATGCAGACGATAGGTTGGGTGTGTTTTTTTTGCTGCAACGACTTGAGATTGTTGGAACATTTGTTCTCTTTATTTCTTTTTATACAGTGCACGAGGCAGGTGTTTTCCACAAAGTACAAAGTAGATAAACAAGAAGTACAGACCAGTCAAGTGAGGTTTGCTTCTATGTTTTCATTAAAGCGTTGCCAGTGATCTGGGCCCATCAGGACCCCCGGTGGGATCATTGATGGGACTGCAATGCATGAAACCTTTCCCTCTGGATCATTATATTAACTTTATGATTGGAGCGGAGTGTTGTGCGAGGGCCTGAGAGCGGCATTGGGTGCAGGGCCCTGACGTGGTCCCGGCCGGGGCCCCGGGCGGGCTGGACGGGGCCCTCGATGGCATGGTCCCGCTGGTGTACGAGCCGGCCACGCAGCGGATGCGCCGGAGGTCCCCCGAGAGGGACGCGGCCTCGCTCACGAGCACCTCCTCGGCCAGCACGGACCTGTCGGCCTGCCCGTCGGAGGCCGAGGAGGGCGCCAGGCGCAGTGCTGGCCTGGCCGCCATCTTCTCCAGGTCAGTGGGCACTTTCCTCTACCTATACGGGTAAGAACTGAGAGAGGGGACGTCACAACACCGTGTGGGTGGACAACAAAGCTAGCTTCCTTTGTCTACTCGCTCACTTTTGGAGCGTGCTTCAATGCGTTCAAAGAGTGCATGGAGACAAAGGCAGTTAGCTTTGAGTTCACCCACTCCAACCAGTGTTCTGACTTCTTCACCTTTCCTTCTGTGTCTCGCTGTATTGGTCGAGCTCGGCCCGCCGGCTTTTATTGATTTTCGCGGCCTCCCTCTCGAGTGAATAGATGGAGACGTTAAAAATGGCGCGTTTAACCAAGGTATTCCAAGTTCTAAATAACAATGTTTGCCATTCATTTTGATTCGCTGCATACAGTTGAGACGTTTGAGTTTTTTGGATATTTTAAAATTGATAATACTATTTGTAATAGCCCTATTTCTCGCACTAAGGTTGCCCCCTTTGCACCGGCACATGCGCCGCTTCGCACCAGTGCATGCGCGTTGAGCTTTTCTACTTTGCACCGGCGTGTTAGGAGAAACGACCGACGTGTTGGATTGTCTCGATGGGCTCGGAAATTTTGCCTCGCTATTCATGATCAGCCTTCTGTAGTTTGTGGGCAGCTTGGGAATCCGAAGTGTTTGCCCAGGTTGCCTCTCTGCCAAATCGTGAGTGGTCACTTGCACCGCGAGGGGGCCAAGGGCAACTGGCCACGCGAGCGGTGCTCCGCCGCTGATAAAGGGTCGTCGCAGCGTATGCGGGGGATTCTTGGGATCGCGGTGCGGGTGATAACGGTCATTAAATGTCTACGTGTTGTTGAACCGGTGTGCTGTGTCATTCTCAGAGACGGGTAGCAGCAAGGGAATTCCCGCAAGTTATGATTATAGTTTGAAACCTAATTTTAAAGCACAGTGCCAAAAAGAAAACGCAAAGCTATATTCAAATATATAAGGTAGTCATTGCTGTGCTTGCGATGTTATGTTTTACCTATCATTTTTCCTATCAGGGCCTTCTTTCCCTCGTACAAGTATGTGAAATGCTACTTATGTAGTAGAACTGTCCTTTTTTCTAGATATGTTCTGTAGAAAAAAATATCCAGCCATAATTAAAAATGTATCTATGCTCAAAATATTGACACCGTATTTACTTGCATTGTCAACTCCTCCCCAGTCCCACATGAGCATGGAAGACGTCCCCTTTTTTTCTCCCCCACGTACGTAACATACTTGAGCATCGGTGTTGTTCCTTTTCTCCCCCATGCATTCAATGCACCCAAGATGTCCAAAATATGTGAAAGGGGGCAACCGACAACTGATCAGCCGTAGTGCACTAAAGAAAGGAAAATTTAGGAATGATGCTTTACTGTTCTTCATTCGTTAGGTGACATAGACTAATTCCTGCAATAGGCTTCTTCCGAAACTGACGTGCCCCATCGCGGCGAAATACCACATAGTGCACTCTGGGTACTATTTGGCTACTCAGTTTCGGTTTCGACTGAGCAGCTTTCATCTCATGCTATCACGCCGTGACCGTTTTCGACTATGACTTTTCACGACTCTACAATATACTCATTCTCAAGCGATACAAAATTGAAGACCGGGGCACCTTTCTTGGTTCCCGAAACACCGGATATTGTGCGTGCGTATGAAAACGTAGTAAGACGTGGCTTAGTCACCTCACCCCACGCGTGCATCTTTGAGCTCGTGTCAGTAATCCCGTCTATACCAGTGAACTACAACTGAAATTTGGTCACCTTGAGCCCTACACATATTTTGTTTGCCAAACGTTAGCTTCTTGTTACTTCATTGGGCAAAAAGCAAGCCGCATCCTCACAGGAGTATCAAAGTTGAGCCAGCGTTGGCGCATTAACTTTTAAGGAAACGCAATAAATTCGACCTCACTACTGCAGAGAAGTTACTGTGATGTCTTCCTCGTGTCATCACATATCTCACACTCAAATTTTATACTGATATAAGATTAAGTTTTCGCAAACGCTGAGATCGGCTAGCTACGACGGAGGCCCTGACAAGCGTCCCCTACTCCTCGCTAAGCCTTTTTGGACAACCTTTTACTGACGCCCAAGATCTGTGCCTGAACGGTGTGTCGGAAATTATCTCGGCATACTCAGTGAGGAAGAAAGCAAACACATAACAAATATTATGGCCATTAGCAACTGTCAAATGCGCTTTGAATAATTTTGTTCGTTTGGCGCACCAGGGTTCATGCCTGTCCGGCGCACTTCCACCGAATGGTGCGACATTCTTCACACAAGTTCTCGACTTTTGCTTTCTTAAAACGGTTTGTATGTGCAAATGTGCCTATATGATTGCAGGATAACTTTATGCGTAAACGCGATGTTGAATATTGGTGAAATGGAAGCGGGTGGGGACCTCACGAATTCGTGCAGTGCTGTGGGGCAGTACAGATAAGCGATGAGAAGTGTGTTCAAATGGAGCTTTTCAATGGTGCCTCCGAGTTTTACCTTGCGTAGTCAGGCGTATTAAGAAAAACAGTAAATGCAAAAAGTTATATTTCGTCTATGGACGCACGAAACGAACAAACTTCCTGATCAACAACGCTAATGTAAAGGCGTGAGCTCGATGTATGCATACTTACTGGTGTCTACAGCTTGTTGATTCGTACATAAGCAAGATACCCGAGCTTCGTAGCGTCGAGATTCCCCAGCACTGGCTAGTCCACGTACCTCGAAACGCTAACAGAAGGGCTCAAGTACAAAAATACAACAAGTATGCGTAAAGACAAGCTATACGTCTAGGGCTTGTGCTAAAGCTTTGAGGTCTGGCCATTTAGGTTAGTTTTAGAGACCACAAATGACGCTCTCGGGACCATAAAACATAAACTAACTGCCGTTTATAGTCCACGCTCTGTGTATAATGTTTTGCCGACGTGTCGATCGAAACCGAAACCATGGCACTCTCCTCCCAGTCCAACTAGTTCCCAGAGTGCAACGCGCGCCGTGTTGCATGCAGGGCTTTATGGAAGTAGTCTATTAATAGGCCATATGCAAAATCCTTGCCAGCTATCATCAGCATGCCATTAGGAGCCGCTATATTGGGGTGTTTATCACATCTTCCAGTTGTGGACAAGGCGCATCTGCATTTAACTCTATTTTCATGATATTAGGGCAGTTTATTTGTACACTCAACGGGTTGCTGGTTAGTTTTGGATCAAAGAAGAAAAGAAAGACGGCCGCAAAATTCTGGGAAAGGAATCGTCAGCAACGAGGTCGCAAGACTCGTCACTCAACCAGTGAACTGAGCCATCCAAGTCAATGAATGGTATTTCTCGAAGACGCCCTGTGAAGGGTTTGTACTGGACTTGCAGCAGGTGATCATATTTTAGTTCTACGACTTCCTCTTTGCCGGAACTATTGTTTCTCGGGCGAAACCGTCGGTACAGGAACTCCCCAATATGGAGGAAATCTGATAATTAATCATGAATACACTAGATGGCGCTTCTTTTTGCATATGGTCTATTGACCATAACCCGAAAATCATTGACCGCCCTTTAAGGATTAGGATTTAATTTAATTATGTTTAATAATTTATGATTTTAATTTAATTTATTTAATTAATTATTTAAAATTATTTAATAATTTAATTTTAATGATTTAATTTAATGATTAGGATTGAATAATGAGACCTGGCATAATCGGGGCCATGGTAGGATTTATATTGAAGTCACAATAAAAGATTTTGTATTTGCACACCTCTAATTTTATAGGTACAGTTTTGGAGTCTCCAGCATGTGGAGTAAATTGAACACGATTGTGGAGCCATCACTAATTTATGGTGGCTGTACCCATCTTTCTGTATCGCTAGTCAAATCTCAATATAACGAATTTCACGGGACTGCCGAAAATCATGCATTATTCTGAAATATTGCAATAGTGATTTTCACTCTAGTAATTAAATTGGACGAAAGAAATAACCTACCTCTGGCAACAAGATTGCACTCGGTCGTTTCCAATCAGCAAAGCATTGCACGCGACGAAACACTGCATTTTTAGCGTATATATGCATGTAATGGCTGCAGGTTTTTTTGTTTTTTTTTGTTCGTTTTTAGATTTAGAGTGAAAAGTAAAGACCTGTTCACACTCTTGCGACCGAGTAAGACCGAGAGAGACCAGACCGGTTTTTAAGCCTCTTGCGACTTCTTAGGACCGGATGCGCTACAGCGGAGCTGGTCCTAAGAGATCGCAACAGGCTTAAAAACCGGTCTGGTCTCTCTCGGTCGCAAGAGTGTGAAAGGGCCTTGGGTGCCAACCATTACACAAGAAAAAGCTCTTTTTGTTTAAACATTTTTTCTGAAGGTTGGAGGCTAGACTTTAACTTACTCGCCTTTGTTAAGTGGATCTATCCCCACGCGTTGACAGAAAAGAGAACGAAAGAATATTCATTGCCTTCACGAACATAAAGGCGTCAACATAAATGCCCGTAAGGGCTTTCAAGGATAATCAATGATAACGATCACTGTCTGCACCATCCTCGTCCGAACTCATTTCGACATCCCCGTCGAAGATCGGGTCATCTTCGGAACCATCAAGCTTGTTTGAAACGCCTGTCACCTTGAAGCTTTTCTCCACAGTCTTGAAGGATACCGCTCCCCACGCTTAAGGGTTCACGCACACAGATCTACAAGGATGCCCTTTTCAGCCAACGGGTTGGCATCCTCTGGTGGACGTTTGTCGTCATCCACTAGGTGTATGCGCGGTGAAATCCACACTTGAATGACCGATTGACTGGCACATAGAGTGGTTGAAGCATTCCAGTCATTCCTCCAGATATGATGGCCAGAGGCGGCCTTGGCATTTTGCTGCCCTAGGCAGCCTTTAACTCTTTCTCAAAATTAGCTAGATTTGGAGCTAGAATTCTCAAAGTAGCTAAATTAAGAGCTAGATTTAAAAAGAGAGCCTAATTTGTGCGGTGGCCACAAATTGGCCACCTCCAATATTCTGCCGCCGTAGGCACCTGCCTACTCTGCCTTTTTGTAAGTCTGTCCCTGATGACGGCCAAGTCCATATCAAATGCGCAAAGTTGCTCCTGCACATTTTCTGTCAGGTGTCCCCGAAAGCTGTTGAGAACAAGAACCAAGCGCGTGTCAATAGTCTGCTCCTGGCCACTTTTCTCGAACGCGCGTCAACCAGTCTTTCACCATATCGTCCGTCATCCACCCCTTCTCTTGGGCTTGCACGATTGTGCCGTCGGGGAATTGCTCTGCTGGTATACGCTTTTCCTTTTAAAGGCAATGTAAGGTGGAAGTTTTTGCCCGTCTGCTGTGAAACACAGCATCACTGTGCATCGTTGACTTTCGGTTGAACGAACATGGACACTTATCTTCCCTTTCGCCTCCACCGTCACATTCTCTGGTGTGTTGAACCAAAACCGGCAAGGAAAACAGCGCTGAAAAAAACACAGGCAAGAGGGACAAGACAAGGCGCACTCTCAACTGAACTTCATTTGAAAAGTCCAAGTCTGAGATCGGAGGATTCTGAAAATTCTATGGGCATGAGCACTTGGCGGTTGGGTTCCGTTGAAGAGGGCGATGACTTCATACGGGTATCTTCTGTGGCACATGTCATAAGAATACTGCCTGGCTTGACAGCACGAGATGACATTGAGGTTGTTGCGGGGCTAAACAGACTGGTGGCTGGTGGGTGAACATTGAAACCAAACCGGTGTTTGGTCCGTATTGCCTATCTTGTCCCCGTAGGGGGCACCTGTGAAAGCAGGTGTTTGGAAAGTGGCGTCTCCACGGACCCCGAGCTATGCGAGTTCGCCCGCCCACGTCTGGCTGTGCGTGGCTTTCCCATGTCTGGGGAAAAGGGCATCCTGGTGGTTCAGTTGAGCCTAGGGTAGGTTTGGACCCTTCGGGGCCCCCTGGGTGAGGCAATACACCACTTCAGCCCCCGTTTTTCGTTGACGGGTGTCCTGGCTTGGCCCGACCAGGATGATTCAGTCAGTCACCACTTCTACTATCCCATCCCTTCTTTTCACTCTTCTCATTTCTCTTCTCTTATTTATTTTTTTTTCCAACTCTTTTGGTGGCAAGGGCTAACCTTGGGTGGCGACAGACCCCTTGTCCAGAACCCCACTTGGTTATAGTACCTGGGCAGTGCTAATAGCATAACGGATCCAGCAAAGCACTTTTTGTTAGGGTCCATTTCCTATTCCCTTGTTGGGCTCCGTGGTGGGCGGCACACCACAGGTTCCGGAAGCCTCCCCATTCATATGGGTTCCAAACTTAAACCTTCTGATCGGCCCCCCAAAAGGGTCCGCACCGACGCACATCTCCCACCTCTTGACATGAACAACACTGACTATGTTACAAAGTTTTTCATTGTACATTACGAATTTGAGACGAAACCGCTGTTGAAACTGCCCCCTTGTGGCTAAGGTCTTAAGACTTGGTAGGGGAAAAGTTTAATGCAAAAGTCTTTTTCTGGAGACCTTTTTGTGGAAGTATTTGAGAAAAATCAGGCAGGCTGTGTTGCTGTGCCTCAACCATATCCTTGACACGAAAGTGAGCATCTCTGCACACCGTACGCTTAACACCATTTGCGGTGTTATATCTGAGGACGACCTGATGTAGAGTCAGGACGAAGAGATTCTTGAAGGCGTGCACAGCCAGGGTGTTGTTGCTGTAAAGCGCATCACCATCCGTAGAGATGACAAAGCACTTCCTACGCGACACCTTTGAGCTCAACAGCCTGCCTTTTTCCGTGAAAGCGGGGTACTTGAATTGTAAGGTTTGGCCTTACATACCTAACCCTGTCCGTCGTTTCCGCTGTCAGCGCTTTAAGCATGGCTCGCGGTCCTGCCAAGGCCGTGAGACGTGCCAGGTGCGGTAGCAGTGAGCACATCGCTGACGACTGTCATGAAGACATTAAATATGTCAATTGTAAAGGCAAGCACCTTGCGTATTCTAGGTCATGTGAACACTTCAAAAGAGAAGAGGAAATTCTGACCCTAAAAGTGAAGAAAAACATCTCCCATCCTGGAGCGAAGTGTCGCCTCTTTGCTTTCCAGAGAGGCTCTTTTGCCGAAGTGGTGCGAAGGGGACCTGAACCGCCTATGGCATCTGTGGGAATGCAAGTGCCTTATGGGGACCTTGCACAACAACTAAAGTCCTCTGGTCCCAGGCTAAAAGAGCAATTTCCAGAGTGTGCTTTCTCAGGTGCCCTTCCCAAACGTGCGAAAGGTTTCGATGCATCAACCGAGCAGACGAAGGCCACCCTGTCGCAGACGTAAGGTACTTCTGGAGCAGTGCACACTTGTCTGCCCCGAGATGAGAGGGTGGATGCTGGTCCGTCAGAATCCGCTCGAGCACAGGGGTCTGTGCTCCCTGCACAGGGCTCTGCACCCCCTTAGTGGCGGGGTGTAGTTTGCATTGCGGCACGATCTGGCTTGCCGCAGTAATAAAACAAAAACCAAATTTCCTTCGAAAAATAAAATTGGAGAAGGAAAGGCGGGGAGCGAGCAAAGAGGCGAAGATAAAGCAAGCCACGGCGTGAGGAAGCACTGGGCAGTGAAAGAAAAGTCCTCTCTGCCTTCTGCTCTTGCCACTTGCCGCCTGCGGAGAGAACTGCTGCGCGTTTGTCGCGTCTGTTTATTTTGTTTCTCCTTGTCCGAGCATTGAAGCATCAAACTATCCCACATCATTTTCTGCTAAAATCGTTTTCCCACCGATAGTATGCACTAATAAATGCAAGAATCTACACTGCCTCCCACGCGAACGTGGAGAGCGTATGGGGCAGCCATGCTTCTATCCTCGCTTTGATGATGATGATGATAGCACGACAGTTGGGCCACCTCTAGGTCGATCTTGAGGCCAATGGACCCTTTCTGAAATTCAGTGCCATCTGGTAACTCAAATGGCGGTTTAACTTTTGCTGTACTAATGACAGCAGTGAACCAATGAGTCAGCGGCAATTGAAAAGGTGCGTTTCACTGTACAGTTCCTTCTCAATCTCTTTCAGTGTCGATGGCAAAAAAAGATGCAACCAGTCAGAACGAAGCGCCAACCCACATAGATGCCTCGATAAAGTTCTATACATCAAAGGGCTTTGAAGCTGATTGTGTGATACTAACAGATTGACTGGGCCAGAGTTAGAAATGAATGCTTACGCAGCTCTTGCATTCAATTCCTGCTTTGCATTGTGCTAATGTCTCGAATGTATAGGCCTCGAATCACCTGCTTAGGAGCATCTTCAACTTCTTTCTTTATTAGTAAACAGAAGGCCACCATTAGTATGGTGCATATGCCATTTTTCAGCTGATGATAGTGATCAAAGTGGCCAGACTGAATTTTGGAAAGGGTCTGTCGTTGACTTAAAACTGTGTTGCATCTCACTGCATTGTACCCTCTCCTGTGTCTACTCTGGCTCGCACATTTTCGAGGATCAATGAACATGACATTTTCTTAATCATAGCTTGGGCCGTAAGGAAGTGACGGCGTAATTAAAATGGTGGTCGCAAAGCGTATTGCCTTCCTTTATGAGTTACGATGTTAAGAAAATGCTGATTTTCGTTTCGTGCTTCTGCAACGCCTGTCAACAATTGTCAAATAGCCCAAGTAAGAACAAACGAAAGACAAATTTGATGTTTATGTGGCCCATGTGAGGTTCGCCTATAGTTTACTGTAGGCTAACCTCACAAAGTGTCTTGCAGTAGTGATGCATGACTGCACACTGGTACCGCTAATGAGAAACTGGACTGGTACGAAATATGTTTGTGCAGCTGGAGAACGTTAATTGATTCGGATAGACCACTGAGGAAGGTTTTCCTTGCAGAGGCCTTTTGGCTTGGAAGTGGAAGGCTTCCGAGGTGAGAGTGCCCTCACCTCGAGATCCGTCTCCTACTCCTTCCAAGCAGAGTGCCGATGGCTGTGTGGCCAGCTCAACGACTGCACTCATCTTGGAGAACCGTCCGTCGTAAGTCCCTTTGCTGCAGTAGTTGAGGTGCGAGGGTCTCTCGGTTCCTAGCCAGGTTTGATTGGGACTCGCCGAAGGTAAAATAAAATGGCACCCGTGCCGGTTGTCTGCTTGTGGCCACAAGCGTGGTCTGCGAAGACAGTACTGCCCGCAGGAACCTCCCCGCCAAGCCCCCGGACGAGGAGCACAAGCACAGGCTGGAGTACGAGGAAATGGTGAAGGCAGCCCGGAAAAAAGGTGCAGCTGGGAGGGCAGCATGGGGCAGAGGCCAACGGATGTCCCTTTGCAGAGCTCAAGGAGGCGGCGGCCCGCAGGAAGCAGCTGGAGCAGCAGTGGCGCCAGGAGGAGCAGCTGGTGCAGGCGACGCGCACCTGGGTCTCGGACGTGTTACCCCGCTGGGAGACAGCGCGGCACCAGCGGCGCACGCAGGAGCTCTGGTGGCAGGGCATCCCGCCCAGCGTGCGGGGCCATGTCTGGAAGCTGGCCGTGGGCAACGAGCTGAACATCACGAGCGAGCTGTACGAGATCTGCGCTTCACGCTCGCGCCAGGTCACACGGGCCGACGATCCTGACCGGGCCGACACCCGGGAGAACTCTGCCCATCTGATACGGCTGGACGTGTCGCGCACCTTTCCGCAACTCGGCATCTTTCAAGAGGTAAGTGCCCTCGCTGCGGCGCCTTTCCGTCACTGGGCTGGTGCCGCAACTCTAGGAGACGTTCGGTGTTCCTAGACAGTTGAGGAAGTTCGTATAGATGACGTACGGTGAGGCTTTTGTGTTCTTTTTTTATATTAAAAATAGTGCAAAAAGGGACGGGACAAAAAGACGAAGAAGCACACAGGACAATTTTTACAATACAGTTCTTTTTTTGTTTAATTAGAACAATCGTCGACGAATTGGCCACTTTGGCACTTCAGATTCTTACTTTGTGGACACTAACACATTTAATTGGTGCGACGCTGAAAAAAAGCTAGCGATAGACACGGAATTGTAAAAACAGTGGACCAAGTCTCTTTACAGAGCACTGCCTGCTTATCGTGTCTTTATAGTGCTGTTTATTAAGATTGTGGAAATATTTAAATTTTCCAATTATAAGCTATTCAGTATTCTCTTCGAGGTAAACTGCAATATTAATACTTTTCAAATTGTCGATTGTGGCAGATTAGCCCCGTGTATCGTATTGGTGGCCGACCATGCTTATTACAATGGTTGTGGTGCTGAAAGCACGCAAGACTACAGGGAGGCGCATGGAGACCCTTGCGTTCCCTCCCCCTTCTTTACTGAAGCAAATGGCAAACTGGGAAAACGGGGTAAACGGTTGACAGAGGGCAGAGCGTGCAGAGCTGGCAGAGTGCCGCTTCCGATGCTGATGCGCCGACGCGGGTAGGGAGCAGCGGGAGCAGCAACAGCGTTCCGACGCTGCCGGACTCCTGTTGGAATCGGGTCAAGGGAGCAGTGGAGTCCGGATGATCCCTTGGGGAGCCTCCGACATGGGCGCCTGCACGGGCACGCCTGTGGCATACATAGTACACGCACACGTGTGTCGTATGAGAGATTGGGATTGTTTACTGAAAGTCGCATAGATCTGTGACATTGAGAAAAGTGGTCGGCCCAAGTCCAAAATTGCCAAAGAATTCGACATTTCGGCATCGACTCTTCGACATTGTCCACCGCTTTGCAGAGCAAGCATGGCATATTGGAAAGGGTAGAGAAGTTTTTCCTGCATGAGAAAGCGTGCCCACGACTTGAAAGATCGCCAACTGCTTTGCACACGTCTGATTTTCTCTCGCAATCTCTACAGGAGTGTGTGAAAACATCTTGGCAAAACCATTGAGGATAACTTTGATTTGTTTGGGCTTGTCAATGTGGATGTTCCTGTTGTTGCTTCTGCCATGGATGCTGCGATTGTAGACCTTGCATGTGGCCGAGGTAAACACAAAGTGATGTCGGAGAGGCACCTCGGGAAACGCCGAAGACTGCGGAGACGCGAAACACCCCACAGCTGCTTCGAAACAAAGTGGAGTGCAGCAATGGTGGCAGTATTCTTGCGATGTCTGAAGCAGTTTGAGGAGAACTGATGCCCGGATGAAATTATCGGCGAACTCCACACTTCATTATTTTTTTACTCGGTAAATCTGCCATGAGATGTCCATAACCAAGGTTTGTTTGATTAAATATGCGGTCAGAGGGTTCCGGAGTATTCCCGTCCACTTTCGAGGCTGCTGCCACTTTTTTTTTTTTTGCTCTATCGCTTTTATAGAATTATTGCTTATATAGAATTTTTTTGCTGTCCCGTTGACTTCGTTATAACGGGGGATTACTGTATGAGAGAACTATACTGCTAAGACCCATTGTATGTTCCTATAATCCTGCTAAATTTGTTTTGAAAATGACGGGATAGTTTCGTGGGTAAATCAATTTATATGCGGGACCCTCGGATCCGCACCTCTGAAAAGAAGACTTGGGTCTCTTGGCGTCTCGAGCTTCAGCTTTCTTGCTTACCTTCTGTGTTTTAAGCAGGAGTGGAACGGCTGTGCCATTTTGCGCCAGACGCATTTGTCTGCGCCATCCTGCGGAAACTGCGCCACAGCCAATACTTCGCGCCATTGCGGCTCCAAATCGCACAACGTGCGCCAAAATAATTCTATTCTTGGTTTCGGTTTTTATTGACTCGATTGGCAACAATGAGTGCGTTTAGCTTGGTCGGCCTTGCAATTTTTTGTTCCGTTTATTTTTCCTGTGTATCCCGAGTCTGAAGCACGCGAAAAAACTCGGGGGGTCGGATTCCAAGCGCTACATCACCTGCGACTGGATTGTTATTCTTCAACCATAAGCGTTTAAGGGGACACGCACCCTAGGAGGGTCAACTTTTGAACCCTTGGCTTAGCATTAATGAAATTTACAGGGTAGGCTGGTGGTCATGCTAGAGGGTGCATACCAAAATTCCATGTCTCGGTTAAGTGGGAAGGAAATTAGGGCAGCTTTTATCAGCAACACGCCTACAAAGTTTAGTTAATCTATCGTCGGAAAACTATCACGATATTCAAGATTTTTATTCACTAGATATGTAGCAAAATGCCTAGAGGGTGCGGCTATGGAAAGCTTTTTGTAAAAAGTAATTTATTTCTATAATTTTTCTCTTCTGCAAAATTGGTCAACTTTTTGGTCTTCTGTGCCTTTGACAAAATGTCAACATTTTTTATAAAAGACATCCGTAAAGTGACAAAAACATTACATAGTCGCATTCCTTATTAAATTTTAGTCAGGAAAATTGAAGAACGAGCCTTCCCTGTATTGCCTTTATCAAACGATAGGTTGACTAAAATGGAATTTATACCAAAAAGTGGAACGAAGAAAAATGTGTTCAAAGTGCTCCAAACCCTGCCTTTTCTTTAGCTTCGGCGGTTAGAAAATAATTTATAAAAAGTTAACTATGTAGTGTAAACTAGTGAAAATTTCTGAAAATACTCTCTAGATGTTGGTGGATGTAAATATGTAATTTTTCAAAATCGACATTTTTTGCAGAATTTTTTTTTTCTGGGTAGTGTGTCCCCCCTTAAGCAAGTCGTCGAGGTGAGGTCGAGTCGTTAAGCGTCAGATAGCCTGAGGCTCTGCGGCCCGGGTTCCAGACGTCAGCCAGTTGAAAACACATCAGTGAAAGGTTCCTTTTAGTGCTTCATCGTTAGAAGTTAGAACCGTATTCCTGCACGATAAATCGTGATTTCATTGAACTGAAACGTTGTCCGATCCGAATCCTTGCCAGCCAGCAGTTCTCACGCAAGCGGTAGATATGCTTGGCATACTTTAATCGTGCTCTGGCTCATCGCTTCGAATATGATAACTGCGTTAATCATAGTCTGATGCTTCGATATTGAGTTGTACAATAGGATAAACTCAAAATTAGTTGCCCTGTTCCTCCGCACAACTGCACGTCCGTTGCTTACGCAAGTCACGTGGTTCGCACATATAATTTCTATGTCGAGCATGTGTGGGTCGTGCTATAAACAGTGCTGGTTTGGATTTTGAGCAGCTGAAAGTCATTCAGAAAATATCAAGAACACTATCTTCAGAAACATGGTACTTGCTTTTAAGTTCTCACTAAGGCCAAGTTTTTGCACCTGTTACACTGTTATCCCACCTACATAGGTTCCTAACCACTCATGCTCATCTGTGCTGCTAAGCACAATTGAAATTGCTCCCATGCTCATCTAAGACACAAGCTGAAGTGCAATGAAAACTGATTTGAGCTGCTCCTAGCCTGCTCCAGAATGTAGTTTTAGCTGCTCCCAGCCTGATCCAAAACAGCAGTTTCAGCTGCTCCCGTGGCTGCTCCCAAGTACATATCATGCGTTCCACCCCTGCTCAAGCATGCGGTCCGTGACGATTGCGTTTATGGCATGGTTTGCTTCTTCGAAGTCTTTGACACTGATTGCAGCAGCAACGAGAGTGATTGTTATCAAGAAATGTTGGAAGCTGGTCTGACCAACTCCAGCGACGAGTCATGGACAAACTCACCATGGTTGCCGTCGTCCACAATTCCCAGGTGCTTGCAGGGTGGAAGGTCAAAGGGGCAAGAGCGGGAATAGCGTTGGGGTTGCTGAGTTGCGTGAGCGGCTTCGATTGGACTGTGGAGAGGCAAGATTGGGCGATCGTATGGTTGCCTTGAATAAGATAGTGTTTATGATCACGTGATTGATGGGAACCATGGTGTGCCTAACTGGGGCGATGTCACCGGGTCGGCAGATGAAAATGATAAAAATTTCTAAATTTAATATCGCAATTATGTGAGCTCTAAGAATCGCGAAACTTAATGTATATACTAAGTAGCCTATGAGCAATCCATTTCAAGAATAGTCTACTCGTTTCCCTTTTCAGGGGTGTTTACACGGGGGAGCAATCCCTCCCTTTGCTCGCCGAGATGTGCATCATGTGGTAACAACGTTGCGGAAGCGTGCTGAGGTAGGCATTGCGGGGGGTGTGGTGGAGCTTTTGCTTGGGTTGCACAAACGGTCCATGCCTTGGCGTGGGATCTCTTTGGAATTCGCAGTATTTTGTTTACGTGTCTGGCAGCTTTACATATTGTGCTCTGCGGGGTACCGGCAGTAGCACGAGTCCGCCTAACTTGTGGCTTGCGCATGTTGTCCGAGGCACCCAAAGGAGTCTTTGATATTCATCGATGTTGTCCTCAAGCAGCTTCTCATGCAACTGGTTTTGTATTCTACATTTTTTGTGTTGCATCCTCCCTTCCAAGAAGCATCTTTTTTGTTAGCAGAAAGCAGTTGGTCGTTTTCTGTATCTAACACGGTTGCTGCTGTAATCGTGTACCGCCGTACCACGTACGCCCCCCATTTTCTACTCGTCGGCGCGCACCGAGCCTTGTTGTCGAGAGTGCAACCGCTGAATGTGTCTGATAAGACTGACATGGGCTCCCACCACCCGTGTGCATGCTGAGGAGGGCATCCCGCTGGTTCTGCTCATCGCTGGCGTCACGCACGTCCCTTCCTGTGAATACCCCTTTACTGAGCACTGCGGAGAAGCAACACTTGTGCGAGTGAACTCCACTGGCTTCTCCGCAGCGCAACTGTGCTCGGTTAGAAGCAAGCTAACGGGGTTAATATGCCGCAATCAGTACTTCGAGAAGTAGGAATATTGCAGTT